CCCCAAAAAGGTACCACAATATCCCAAAGCTGCCGGGGGGGGGGGGTCAGGAGGGGGATGGAAGCGAGGTGACGACCGGCCTCTCTCTGCCCCAGCGCCACCCGGACCCAGGCGTCCGGGCCCCTCACCGTAGACGTAGAACACAGAGCTCCATCCTGAGTACTGCACCAGGACCCCGGCGAGAGGCATCGCGACCACTGCCCCAGCATAGGAACCTATAGGGGATGATACAGGACGGAGAAGAGTCCCATTCTCCCTCAAATGCAATAGAGTGGATTCCCAGCCCCCACCTTTCTGGGACACAGATGCACAGGCCACAGCCCCTCCTCCCTCAGATACTTCAGTCTGGGTCACCAGCCCCCTCCTCTCTCAGACCCGGGAGTCCAAGCCCTCATTCCCCTCCTTCCTCAGACCTAAGAGTCCATATTCCAGCCCCCTACATCCTCAGACCCACAAGGCTGGATCCCAGCCCCTTCCTCTCACCGCAAAAGGCTGTTGTTGCCAGGCGACTCCGCTCTAAGGGCGGGGCCCATTTGCTCCAGATCCCGTGGCAGGCGGGGTACGTGACCCCCTAGGGAGGAGAAAGCCAAAGTCAACGAGAAGAGGTGGAGCTAGAACGGCGGCGGGGGTCATAGGGGGCGGAGCTTTACCTCTACCAACCCCTGCAGGATCCTCACGAAGATGACACAGCCATAGTGGACACGGGCAGCCGAGGGGATCAACATGTTTAGAGTGGAGGTAGCCACAATAGCAAAGCCAAAAACCCTGATAGGAAGAGTTCGTGGTCCAAGAAAAGAGTCCAGCTAACCCGCCATACCTAGGATTCTGCCCTTTCCTCCCACAGCAGGCGGGGCCCTGCGCCCCCAGAACCCCAGGCCCCACCTTCTCTGTGACCCCCACCTTCCACAATCACAAGCCCCGCCTTTCTCTAGGACCCCGGTCCAGAACCCAGGCTCCTCCCACTTTCCCGGGGTCAGACCCCAAATGCAAGGCCAAACCCTCTAACTCCACCCACACTCTGCCGCCCACTTTGAGACCCCACCCCATACCTGTTGGCTGCGAATTTTTGGCAAATAAATCCTCCAGGAATCTGGGTGACAATGTAGCCCCAGAAAAAGGAGCCGTGTATGAGGCCAACAGTCTCTGGATCCCAGCTGAACTGAGCTTGCTGTGGGCCAAAAGTCACATCAAACCAGCATCTCTGCCCCAGGTTCTGCTCCTCCACCAATCAGCACCCACAGACAGTCCCTCATCCAATCAGCAACAAGGATCCCCTCTCGCCTTCAAAACACCTGCCAATCAGAGCTCGTGCCACCTACCCCAACTCTGCTCCTCCATGTTGCTAGGACCGCACTACCTTAGCACTGGGGCCTGTTGCTGCCTAGAAGCCTAGCTCTGCCTGCTTCCCTGTCTCAGGGTCCCTTCTCTGAATGTCTAGGGGCCCATATATGGGGGTGGAGATTCTTTCTCCGCTTTTAACCAACGTACCAACCGTTTGCTGATTGACCAGGATGGGGTCTAGGCAGGGACAAGTAGCCAAAGGGTCGGGCCTGATTGGAAGGGAACAAGGGGCGGGTAGCCCACAGCCCAAATCAGGAATTTTTTTCTGAGGCAGGGCCATGGCCTATACCGAAATTAAAATAGGGAGAAAGTCTGAAATGAGGCGGGGCTTTAGGTAACGACCAGAGCAGATGGGGGAGGGATTTTAAGCAACGGTGGAACTTCAGAAAATCCAGAATCAAAATTCACAGTGGAGCCTAAGTTGCGCCTGGGATTAAGATGCAACACTGGAACAGTTGTGGGACGCAGGTGTAGTAGAGTTGCTAGGAGGCCCAAAATGGAGCAGGGGCAACACATAGGGAACCTAATGACGGGCAGTCTGCATTTTGAAATCAGAGACCTGAAACAAATAGGGGCGGGGTTTCATTTAGATAGGGGCGGGGCTTAGGAAGGGAAGAGCCCCGAGATGAGATGGAGGTGAGGGGGCAGCACAAATGGGCGGGGCTACTCAGGCTGTGGTGTGTAAGGGGTGTGGTGTGGGCGGGTGTGACGTCATCAGAGGGCGTGGGCAGTGTTATCAGCAGCCTGAGGTAGCGCCCGCCCCGAGCTACCTGCACCACCACGTGGCCCCCGCGGTGGGTCGTGCTGTTGTTGACCATGGAGACAATGGCCACGCCCAGGTTGCAGCGGATGCCGAAGCTGATGCAGAAGCCCAGGCCGCTCATGATGGCGATAATGTAGCGGCGAGGGAGACCAAAGCAGGTGCAATCCACGAGCGGCGGGTCCCGGGTCTGCGTCGTCACCGGGCGCCCATCAGCACTCAGCTCCAGCGTCTCTGCACCTTCCTGCCGCTTCTCCAGAAGACTGAGAGGCAGCAAGGGTCAGACACGGACGTCCAGTCCCCAGCCCCCTCCTCCCATGACACAACAGTCCAGGGCAAAATCTGCTTTTCAAGACCCGGGATTCTAAGCCCGCACTCCCTCTTTCCCCAGTGGTCCAGCCCCTGACCCCCTTCTCCCCCGCTGGATCCAGGAATCTGGACCTCGGTCTCAATCTCCCTCAGGTGAGGAATTCGCACCCCCAGGCCCTTCCTAAGACTCGAGTGAGGAACTCCTCAGTTCCTTTCTCCCCCAGCCCTGTCACCTCTTGACTCAGTTGTTTTAGACCCAGGCTACCCTTTGCGATCCAAAACCCTGTGACCCCAGCCCTCCCCACCAAGGTCCAGAGACACTCTCCAGCCCCCTCTTCCAGATATGAGCCTATTTGAGGAAACAAAAGGCGCTAAGGAGATGCTTCAGCAAAGGTGTCAAAAGAACAGATGCTTCTCAGCCACGTCTGCTATATGTACGGTCCCCCCTCCTCCCCTGCCCCCTGTGGCACGCCCTTCCCTGCTTCCAGGCATCAGTTGTGGGCCTGACATCCAGCTGACTCCATTCAGCCACCGGAAGCCCATTCCCAGGGATTGGGGGTGCAGAGATGTCCAGGGCACTGGAATCCAGCAGCCCAGCTGGATATCCCTGGAGAACCTTGAGTTCAGGCTGTCAGCCTAGGGGGTAGGGAGGAGGAGTGGTGGGAGGTGTCCTGGCAAGGGACAGATGGCCCTGGTAGGGGGATTGGCTCAGTCCCCAGCGAGGCTCTCGCCCCCGCCTGTTCTGGATCCAGGATTGAGTCTGTGATGATGTATAGGGTACTTGGAGGGCCACCTCAAATCCAGAGAGAGGCTGCAGGGAGAAAGAGGTGCCCTGAGACAGGTGTGGACAGATTCAAAAGGAGGGCTACAGAGACAGGGTGGGGAGTGCAGAGGCTGAGAGAAAGAGGGTCAGAGACACAGAGGAAGGAGAGAGACCCAGAGAGAAGGGGACAGATATCCAGAGAGAGAGAGACAGACAACCAGTCAAGAAGAGAATAAGACAGGGGCAGAGACCCTGAGAGAAGGTGGGGGACAGCACAAAGACCCTGAGAAGGAAAGGGACAGAAACCCAGAGAGGGACCCAAAGTCAGGTAGCGACAGAAACCCAGGAGAGAGAACATAGAGGCAGAGACCCAGAATGCTGAGAGAAAGATGGAGAGACTATAGGAGCGTGAGGAGAGACAGATTAGGGATATGACTTGTGAGGTGCGGCCCCTCTCCGAGGCAGGGAGGCAGCCAGGGGATCGGGCTGGATCCCAAGTAAGGGCTAGAACAGATGGAGGCGAGGGAGACTGGGACGGGGGAGGAAAGAACAGCCAGACGGTCTGGGAGGAGGCGGGTGGAAGAGATGAGAACAGCAGCCCTCCCCATCCTAGAACTTAAGGAAGTGGAGGAGGGGGTTAAGAAACAGGGGGTGGGTGGAGAAAAGGACGGGGGAGCTGACAGAACCTGGGGGGATGCAGAATGAGACCCTGAGCAGAGAGCCAGAGAGAGGGGAATGGAAGCCCCAGAATGAATAGCACAGGGTAGTAGGGACTGCCCCCCCATCAGAACAGGCCAGCCAATGAGATTAGAATTTGACCCAGGTTGCTCTCACATGCTATTTGGCTCTGAAACTCAAGATATGATTGCAGCCCCTGAAATGTGATATTCATTGCTAATACTAGGACATAGATCTTAGATCAAGGCTTTCTAAACCGAGGGAGGCAGTCTCAGTATTCCATACCTATAAAATGGGGGCAAGAGTAGAATGTGAGCTTATAAAGAGGGAACTTCAAGGTGATATTATCATTTCAGAAGAAGAGAACCAGGGATGTAGAGATGAAGGTGGCCCCAATGCTTCACAGAGGACAAGAACAGAGAGGGGAGACGCTGGATGGGGTCCCTTTCCCTCTCTGGATGCCTGGAACTCAGGTCTAGGGACTTGGTGGTGAGGAAAAGCAGCACTTAGGAAGCAGGTAACCAAAATGTAAACGGTGTCTCAACCTCCCTCTCTGGGTCTCTGCTCCGCTTCTTCCAGATTCTCAGTCCACTCCCCTCTCCCCCCTCCCAGGTCTCTGTCCTCTTTTTTTTTTTTTTTTTTTTTTTTTTCAGTACGCGGGCCTCTCACTGTTGTGGCCTCTCCCATTGCGGAGCACAGGCTTCGGACGCGCAGGCTCAGCAGCCATGGCTCACGGGCCCAGCCGCTCCGCGGCATGTGGGATCTTCCCGGACCGGGGCACGAACCCGTGTCCCCTGCATCGGCAGGCGGACTCTCAACCACTGCGCCACCAGGGAAGCCCCCTCTGTCCTCTTATATCCCTTCGGTTCTCCCTTATCTTCCTATTGTACAGCTGGGGAAACTGAGGCTCAGGAAGCGCAAGTACCATGTCCAAGGTCACACACAAGAGTAGCAATGGGGCCCTCAACATCACCCCTCCCAAGGCCTGGCTCTCAGAAAGGAGGTATTTTGGCTCCTGTCTCTCCTGTATTCCCCTTCCCCCCCTTGTCCTTGTCCCAAGTCACCTGGGTTACCGTGTGTTTCCTGGTCTGAGGGAGTTTTCCACCCACTCCAGCATCACTCATCTGGAGGAAGTCTGCAGCCTCTATCCCAGACTTGGTAGGGAGACTGAACCTGGGTTCGAATGATGCCATATTTACTCAGCCATTGTTCCCCCCCCTTTTCCAACTGTGCCTCAGTTTTCCCAGCTTTGTCTAGAGGATTAAAAAGAATCAGGGCGTTGTGTCCAATACAGGGCATTCTCCCCCTCTCGCCAACCGTCAAAGTGAACCCCAGGATTCAGATGCTCTTCTGGCCTCCTTGGTGACTGTCCTGGTGGGAGCCCTGAACTCTGGGGTCTCTAGGGACTCAGAAGGCAGCTCAGAGAGGTGACGGTAAGGCAGAGACTGATGGAGAGAAACCCAAACACAGAGAAACTGAGAAACGGAGACTGAGGGAGAGGGCCTGAGAAACACATCGCTCCCGCTGCCGTCCCCCTTCCCAGCCCCTCCACCAGCACGTCTCTCTCCCTCTCCTGACTTCACACTGATGTATTTTGAGAAACTCGTGAAAGGAGGTGAGAAAAAGGGTGGGGAGGGGCTGGAAGATTAGGAAAAGAAGGGGTGAGGTTATCTCATCTCCCCACCCCTCTCCCATCACTGTCATCCTCCTGCCCCCTCCCTTCTGTCCAGCTTTTTTCCCATCTCTCACGTTACTGGAGGGTGGGGTAACTTTGGAGCTAGGAGGTGATTTGCAGCAAGCAGGACTAGTGGTAGACTTAGAGAAGGACTCGCATGGTCTAGTGAGCTGGTCAATCAAAGATGGGATCAGAGCTGTGGGCCAAGGGGACCCAAGGGTCTGAGGGAATGGCGGCAGGGGCATGGTGCTGATGAGGCCATCTCCTCCCCACACTGTGGCCAGATATTTTTAGGCTTCTCCGCAGCTGAGTAATTTCTCTGACTTGGAGCCAGGGCTGGGGTTGGGGGTGAGAGAGTCGGGAGAGGTGTCCAGACTGCTCTGGGGACACCCAGGTCACTGGGGTCATCTCCTTGGCTGGAAGGAGGTCCCTCTGAGCTCTAGCCTGTACCCTTTGGGAAGCCAGGAGCCTAATTTTGGCCGGCAACTCCCTTCGTCACTAGAGACCCAGGATACCCTGGCTTCTTCCTCCCAGCTTAACTCTCCTCAAGGACAAGGACCAATGGGCCCCAATCCGATTTAGCTTGAGATTAAACTCTCTGAGAGATGGAAACAGACAAACACACAGAGATGGAGAGATCCGGGGTGGAGAAATCAAAACGCAGAGAGAGGGTCAGAGACCCAGACCCTAGGGCAGGGAGTTGGGGGACAGAGATTCAGAGAGAGAGCGACAAAGACCTAGACAGAGGGGTTGTTGAGAACTAGTGAGAGCAATGGCCAGAGAGCGGGACAGACTCAGAGATGAAAGGAAACAGAGACCAAGAGAGAAGGAACAGAGATCTCAAGAGAGGAGGCAGAGAGAAGATAGGTGAACGGAGACCCAGAAGCGGGGGAGGGAGTCAGAGGCCCAAACGAGGGGGATATATAATCCCAGAGAAAAGAGCCGAGCCTGGGATGGGGTGGGGCGCAGAAGAATGATGGATGAGACAAGACTAGGGAGAGGGGCGCCGTCGGAGACTGAGGGAGAAAACTGGACAGATGGGTGCCCCCCCACCCATGGGTATCGTCTGTCTAGCTGTCCGACTGCGCCCAGGTGGGAATGAGCGTCCTCCTCGGACCCTAGCGCTCTTCCCCGCCCAGGACCCCCACCGTGCTCACCGGTGCAGCCTCCCGAGGGCACGACCCGCCAGCTTCCGAAACTCCTCCTGGCGGAACTCCATGGTGGCTGCCCCTGCTGCTGGTCCCTCCCCCCCCCGCCGCGGGCCCGGGCGGCCGCGTCCGGGTACCCGGGGTCCGCCCCGGCCCGGCCGGCCCCGCAGCTCCGCTCGGGGGGAAGGAGGCTGCGAGTGCGGGCTGTCTGGGGGCTGTCACTGGACTCAGCGTCGGGGGTGGGGTGGGGCAAGGAGAGGCCCCGCCCATCCATGCTAGACCCAGCCCCTTGTATTCTAGTCCCGCCCACCTTTCGCAGCTCCCCATGCCGGTTCTTGCCCCGCCCTTCCACTCCAAGACCACGCCTCTGGGTTCTGAACTCACTTGTCTGGGTTGCATCGCCCCCAGTCCTGTTCCTTCCCGGAGTTACTCCCCCCTCATCCATCCCCCACCAGCTCCTTCTACCCAAGATTTTCTCTCCTCCCCATCTGAGATTTGCTACCCCCAATTCAGTTCCCCCTAATTTCGTCCCCGCATTTTCATCCCCTACAGTTTCATCTTCCTCTGAATCTCCTTTGCGTTTCATCCTCCCAGCCCTATCCCTCCGAATTTCTGTGCCCTTCAGTTCCACATCCTGCCCAGCGCCCTCCATCCCCAGGCCGCCATATCCTCAATTCCAACTTTCTCATTCAGAGGGTTCTTTTCTCATTCAGGGAATTCCTTCCCCCTCCCTAGATTCCAACCCCCATTTCGATACACCCATTGTCCCTTCTAGTTCTTCCCCATCCAGTTTCTTCGCCCTTGACTCCCATCCACCTGTTTCCATTTTCCCCTTTTGAATTTCATGTCCCTCCAGTTCTATTTCCCCTCTAGGCGCATCCCCCCTTCCAATTCCTTCATTTCCGATTTCCTTCCCATCTGAGTTCATCCCTTATAGTTATACTCCCCCCACCCCCAGTTGCTGGTCATTATTCCCTCCCTAGCCTCGGATCTATCTCCGCCCTTTGAGTTCTCTCCCCACCCTGAGTTCTGTCCCCACCCCTTGAATTGTGTCCCCTTGGATATTTCTTCACCCCTGAGTTCTGTCCCCTCCCCTGGGATCTGTCCCTGCTTTGATTTTTGCCCACACCCCCTGGAATCGGCACCAGGAATACGTCCGTGAGTTCTGTCCCCAGCTACTGAGTCCTCTCCCCGCACCTGAGTTCTGCCCCACCCTTTGGGATCTGTCCCCGCCCCGCCCGGGATCTGTCCCCGCCCCCTGATTTCTTACTCCACCCCTGAATTCCAGCCCCGCCCCTCTGGGGTTGAACCTCGACTTGTCTCCAGCCCGCTGGCAGGTCCTGCCCCGCTGCTTTCGCCTCCAGTCCCTCTCTCCGACGCCAGATCCAGGCCCCAGGAGGGTGCTCCTTCCCTCACTGCCTCCCTGGGTCTGACCAAAAATACATTTGGGATTAAATTTTCATGATGTGACACAGGTCCGCGAGGGAGTGGGAGGGAGCAGCCGGCGCGGCGGGCGGGCGCCACGGAAGGGGGAGCCCGGCAGCCGCTGCCCGCCGCAGCCTCTAGCTTTGTCTCGCTGGGCCTCTGAGTGTCACAATTTTGCCTATGTTTGAGAAAACCCCGGATTGTCAGGGAGGAGAGGCTGGAGGCTGGGACTCCTGGGTCAGAGGGAGGAGGGAGCCTGGGGCTCGGACTCCAGAGTCTGAGGGAGGAGTAGCCCGCGGATTCGTCCACACGCGCCACCCTGTGGTGACAGAATCCCCGGTCTGGGTGCGGAGGCGGCGGTCGCGGCTCCGGGCCAGGTGTGAAGGTGGAGCAGATGGTGAGGAGGAAGGAGTGGGAAGGGGGCCCAGCAGCTGCCAAATCCCGGGCCTTCGCCGGAACCATCACCATGGAGACCGAGGAAAGCAGAAAGGACCCAGCCCTACACTTTCGGGACCCGGGAATGAGTTCTTCTTCCTCCAACGGAGGGTTCCCATGCAAACTACAAGTCCCAGCGGCCGCTGAACTTCAACATTTGCTTCTGAAGGGCCGCTTACTCCGAGGGCCGCTGGGAGTTGTAGTTCTCTGAGACAAAGGGCTGAAGTTGCGTTGCACCCTCTGGTGGACACGGCGCCCAAGTTCGCTATTTCCGAGGCCCAAGGGACCCTACCCAATGTCATACCCAAACCTTTTCACCTTCTCACCATCTAATCCCTCTTTCCCCACCCAATTCACTCAGTTCCAGCCACACTGGCCTCCTTGCTGTTCTTCCAACATCTACCCGAGGCTCCTGCATTTACCTATCCTCCTAGGATTCACTATGGAAGGTGTGTTGGCAATCATTCATAAACTCAACAAATATTTATTGAGTTCCTACTAGGCGTCAGGCATTGGCACACCATAGGGGACATAGCTCTAATGAGAGTATCACTGGGTATTGGGGACCCACCAGAGAAGGATTCTAACTCAGCCAGGAAGGTCAAAGAAAGCCTGAAGTTTGAAAAGCTTCCCAGGAAAAGCTCACTGAAAGGGATGACTGGGAGGGTCGGGCATGGGTGTAGAGTAAGGAGATGTGCCCTGTGAGGGCACACAACCAGAGGTACTGGAGTAGACCTGGGTAGGTGTACTGGAGAAGACGATACTAAATAGGGGAACAGCAGAAACTAAGAAAAGGTGTGGTCAGGACACTGCTCAGTATGACTAGCCTGAGTGACTGGGAGGAAGAGGCCACAAGGGAACATGAAGGGGGACTTTCCTGGCGGTCCAGTGGTTAGTACTCCACACTTCCACTGCAGGGGACATGGGTTTGATCCCTGGTCGGGAGCTAAGATCCCATGTGCCCTGCAGTGGGCAAAAAAAAAATAAGGGAACATGTAGGCGACCAGACAGCACAGAACATTGAGTGCTAGCTGAGAGGCTTGGGCTTTCTCCTAGGGGCACTGGGGAGCCAAAGAGGGGCTGTGAACAGGAGTGGGGCAAGGGCAGCTCTGGGGCCTTGAGAGAGACTAACAAGGGGAGAGACTAGAGGCCAGGAGGCCAGGGAGAGGATCGGGGGAGAGGACGAGGCCTGAGCTGGGGGAGTGACCTCCATGGGACTCCAGTCCAATGTCCCTCTTCCCTCCCACTCCCCATTTACTCCTAGCCAGACACAGAACAAAGGCAAAAATCTTTTATTTCAATTTTAGGAAAGCCACCATCCTCTTCCCTCCACGTAGAAGCACAGGGAGACACCCAGTCAAGAAGGCATGGACAGAAGGGGCATCGCCACCATCAATTGCTGAGGAGAGAGAGGAAGGGGAAAGAGGTTCAGGACCTGGGGATCCAGCCCCCAGCCCCCTCCTCCCTCAGACCCAGGAGTCCAGGCCCCCAGCCCCTCCTCCCTCAGACCCAGGATCCAGACCCCCAGCCCCTCCCCCCTCAGACCCAGAGTCCAGGTCCCCGAGTATCCCTGGTTCCCCACAACCCCCAGCCCCCCAGGTACCTTTCTCTTCTGATGGAAGGCTGCCTTGCTCTCATCACAGCTGATTCGCAGGGGGATGTAGGCATCCAGATGGTATAGCTGCTGGGGGCCCCCCATCACCAGGCGATTCTCCCCGATCTCCAGGGACAGTCCCAGAGCGCCTTCCTGGGGATGCAGTGGAATCAGCCCACCCTTCCCTTCCCAGCAACAGGACGATAAGAACACAGATCAGTGAGAGAACTCTCGCGTGTCGGGATACCATATTTCAAGAGTCTCACCTCCCAAGAAAAAGGTGGGACACAGTAATTACAGGTTTATGACTGAGCACTTACAATGCACTGGGCATCCTCAGGACAGCACCAGAAGTGGGCCTGAGGCCCCCATGGGATGGAGGAGGCAACTGCTCAGAGCGCAGCACTGGCCAGGCTCACACAGGTCCGACAACAAGCCCGCATCACTACCCCTCCAAGACCCCGACCCTTCCAGACCGCATTCTCCTACTCTGGTGGAGGGTGCACTCACCAGTTTGGGGAGGTCAATTTCGGCCAAGAGGAGGTCAGGGGCCTCCAGCCAGAGGTTCAGGTGAGGCTTCTCAGGGCTGGGGAGGAACCAGACCCAGAACTCAGAAGAGCCGCCAGGTCTTTACCAGGGCCGTTCCCTCTCTTTCTCCCTCCCAGCACTGCAGCCTCAGCACAGCTTCCCAGAGGGAGTTCTGCTTCTCCTCCCTCTGGGTTCCCAGAGCCCCAGGACACCGACACCTACAGGATGGCGGGAGAGATTCCAAAGAATGTCGGGGAGACGGGAGATAGGGAGCCCACTGAATGCCCACCCTTTCTCAGGTCTCGGGGAGTTGGGCATGTACAGGTTCCCCAGCTCCTGGATCCGAGGACGCTGCTGGGAGCGGATATTCTGCTGGGAGATAGAGCCCAGGAAAGGTCTGTTCTTCAATATACGCCACTCTGAGGGGGAAGGAGCACAGGATCAAAGGTCACATGGCTCAGGGTGTCCTTTGCTCCCTCCCCTAGAGGAAGAAGGGGGTCTTGCACTGCAAGAGCCTCAAGGGAGAGGCTCCGCCCTCTGCCAAGGATACCAGGGATCTGACCACACCCACAAGCTTGACTTTAGGAGGCGTGCCTGCCGTAGCCCCGCCCCTCGAGGCTCTCAAGACCCCGCTGCTTATCTGGAATCCCCTGCCTCCTCCCTCTCCCCCTTCCCAAGACTCACACATCCCTCTCCCTGAACTCCACAGCCCAGGGGCTAATATAATCCCTGCCCACACTAGTCCCACTTCTCCCAGGGGCCACCCCCAAGCCCCTCCGGGTTTGGCTCCTCCCTGTGGCCCAGGCCCCGCCCCTCACCTGGATTTAGTGGCAGGCTGTATTTGTCCTCAAGGCCCTCCCTGGCAATGGTGATCACCAGCTCCCGCAAGAAATCGCTGTTCTAGGAGTGAAAGAGGGAGAAGAGATGTGGGAGAGCTGGGTGATGGAGGGAGAGGCCCCGGCCCAGGCCTCCCTTGCAGCCCCGCCCCCAACCTGCATCCTCCGGTAGAAGTCGCTGTTGACAGCTACGTCGTAGGCGGTACAACCCTGGCCTTCTGCCGGGAGAGAAAGGGGGTGAGACCCCAGCCCT